GTGTACCGAGAGGGAGATGTTAACAAATTAGATATGAAGTATGTTTAACCCAATGATTACAAGAATACACTTAATAATTCTCGTACTTAGCAACATATAGATTTCGAAGAGTAACAGATCATTAGCATTGTATATGGGCTATAACTAGTTAAAAAATCATATTTTTTGATAAACAGTTGATGCTGCATAAGCAAATATATCTTGAGGTACGACGTCGACTGCTTTTTACATCGAAGCAACGAGTATTTTTTATACGTGTAAGTGAAAATGGCGAAAGTGCCAACTCGTCAATTAGGAAAAACCGGTCCTCAAGTTTCAGCAATTGGTTGTGGAGCAATTGTTTTCTCAGCAGGTTCTAGAACTACCGAAGTAGAGGAAAAACGATTCAAATTATATGATCGTGCAATTGAACTTGGCTATACTTTTTTTTGATAGTAACGATGTTTATGGTGATAGTGAAGATTCATTGGGAAGATATTTTGAGAAATATCTACATCAACGTGAAAAGGTTAGTAAAATAATTCTAACAGAAAATCCTGGTGTTACTGAGGTATGTCGACTATTCATTAGAAATAAACAAAATTTGCTAAATATTTTTACATCTTAATAAAATACTAATAGATCATTCTGATGCAAAACTTTCTAATCTCGAAGTATTTCTTGGCATAAAATTTGCACTTGTAATGTCTCCTGAATTAAAAACTTACACAGTTCGTGGTGATGCTCAATATGTTCATGAAGCATGTGAAAAAAGTTTAAAACGTCTTGGTCTTAGCTCAGTCGATCTTTATTATGCACATTGTATCGATAAAACTGTGCCCATTGAAGAAACTGTCGGTGCTATGAAAGAACTTATTAATGCTGGTAAAGTTAAATATCTTGGTCTATCTAATTGTTCAAGTGATACACTTCGACGAGCACATGTTGTTCATCCAATTGGATGTGTAGAAATTGAATACTCACCATTTAGTCTCAATATTGAATGCAGTGTTGCCACCTTTTGAAGTCCGAAAAGCAGAAAATACTTTGCAAAAAGCAGAAAATAACAGAAGTTTTATCATCGAAAAGCAGAAAGTATGTTTATGATATGAAACTAACGGGTAGCTTGTAATAAAAGAGGGTCTCAGTATTTTGTTAACATCTTCAGCGTTATCTTATCGCTCACGCTTTATTTTTTTATTAAAAGATTCACTGTCTGTTTCTGCACAAATTGCATATTTCGTGGTAAAAATACTTATTTCTTTCTCTTTCAACATCACCATGACTTAAAAACAGTACTACACACAACCTTCAAAATCTTTATTTTTTTTAATTTTTTCCGAAAATATCCAGTCCTTAGATTATTCTTATTATCATTGGTCATGCCATATTCTTTATCCAGAAATAAAATAAAATGTCTTGAGTACGTGGATTGAAATGAACCAATTTATCTCTTGAGTGGCGAACAAATTATACCCAAAGTAACAGGATTAATTGAGAAACTGGACATTTTGGAAAAAGATTGAAAAAAAATGAAGACTTTGAAAGTTGTGTGCAATGTTTGTTTTAAATCATGATGATGTTGAAAGAGAGATAAGTGTTTTTTACAGCGAAATATATCAATCTCTGCAGAATCAGACGGTGAATCTTTCGATAAAAAAATAAAGCGTGAGCGATAAGATAACGCTTAAGATGTTAATAAAATACTGAGAGCCTCTTTTATTACGAGCTATCCGTTAGTTTTAAATTTTAGTTTCAGTATACTAATCACTTGGATTGTATGGCATCACAAAACACAACTAATTAACAAATAGACAGAATCATTGAACACATTTTCTTTTTAAAGAGTATTCTTCATCTGAGTTAAGAGCTTTTGATAAATCTTTTTCACCTAATAAATATTTATCCATTACAGTACGTGATGAGGAGAAATTCAAAATAATTCTTGATTAAATCATAGCATTTAAAAGTTTGTTTGTTTCTTATTGTTCATAAGATTATCAATATTAGCTTTTTTGGGTGTGGATGTGAGTGTGGGTGTGCGTGTGGGTGTGCGTGTAGGTGTGGGGTGGGTGTGGGTGTGGGTGTGAATGTGGGGTGGGTGTGGGTGTAGGTGTGCATGTGCGTGTGGGTGTGGGTGGCTGTGGATGTGGATGTGCGTGTGGGTGAATTTTTTTCAGAATATCCACACTCACACCCCACACTCACACCCACC